TTTATTGTAAATATCACTCACAAGTCACTTTTTTGGCATTTTTTAATATCTGTTGTAATATATCTACATCTAATTGGAAGAATCTTACTTTTCTATTTTTTTCATATTTATTGTAAAACATCAGTCCCAGATCACTTTTTTCATTTGTTCATATTTAATAATTTATTGAAAAGTTGAAACTATCTACAACTTATAACTAATTGGAAGAATCTTCATTGTCATCCAAAACCATCACCTTCCTTTTTGATTTTTTGTTAGACTTCTTGTTATCCTTGAGTCCCTGTTTCCATGCAGCCAAGGTACCTTCTTGGATCTTGGATTTCTTGGAGTAGAAGGCCACCATCATTTTGATTTTTGGTAGGGAAGTGAGGGGGTACCTGTAGAGGTACCTAGGTACCTGTTCAATTTTTCACAAAAATAGGTACCAAGTACCGCACCTGGCACCTCCTGGCAGGTGCGGGGCGGGTGCAAGGGGTACCCCCCAGGAGGTACCAGGTACCTGCAAAAAGTACGGACGAACGATCTCTAATGCACTTTGTCTCACTTTTTCAAGGTGAAAGGTACTACACTCAGCTCATCCTACTTCATCGTAAAAATATACAATCTTGGGTCAATCTGAAGTCAGCCAACGGGATTGTTCATTATACATTTTGCAACACGGCTGATGCCTTGGGCTTATTAGTCAACAACAGCCAACAGGATCAGGCATTGACTGAAGGAGCCCACTTCAAAACTGGTTTTTAACTTAGATTAGTGTTTGCAATAGGGGGTATCAAATATAGGAAATCCACCATTCAAAACCAGTCACTTTTCCCAAAACTTTTTTTTGCTTCAATGGGTCCCAAAAGGGGTCAAATGGATAACCAACATGTTTAAAAAAGGGTGGATTTTTTCAAACCAGTCAATTAAATAATGGTGGATTTGGTAATATTTGATACCCCCTATTGATGCAAAAAAAAGTTTTGGGAAAAGTGACTGGTTTCTAATGGTGGATTCCTTATATTTGATACCCCCTAATAATACTGTTATTAAGTCCACCAGCTGCATCCATGGCTTTGTTTGAGAGAAATTGGAAGGAAATGGGGAAGGAATTTGTCTATGTGCTGAAGAATTAGTATGGCTTAGAAGATCCAGTGCCAGAACAATTTAAAAGCTTCATTATACTTTGACTAGAAAAAATCTTAAAATCAATGAATTCAAGCCTACAAGATTTAAGCTTGCCATTAAATCCAGAACAGGAACATTTTCTCATCTCTATCAATGCTCAAGATTGTGGAGAGTGCCAAGCAAGGGAAGTGAGTGCTAATTGGGCGATAATTCTTGGTCTTTTGAACACAGCTCAACGTAAATTCTACAATGTGGTTTATGATAACTTCTCATGAGTGCAGCCTGATCATAAACTGTATTATCTAGATCAACGGTGGGCCAGCTACGCTAACTGTAGCGTTAGTGTAGCGTAGTGTAGCGAAAAATCGCTACAATGTAGCGTAGCGTTAGCGCTTTTTTCATTTTCAGCGCTAACGCTACGCGCACGGGGCAAAACAATGCGCTAACGTTTAGCGTAGCGTTAGCGCAATTCTCCCCATCTGCGCTAACGCTACGCGCACAGGGCGCAAAAAACCGCCCGCTACGCTGCGCTACAGCAGTTTTTAGCGGTTTTTTGGTGTTTTTTGCCGCTAAAAACGCTGTAGCGGAGCGTAACGCAGCGTAGCGGCGCCAGCGAGGCGCTAACACTACACCCAAAAAATGGCTAGTGTTAGCGCCGCTACAAGTTTAGC